GGCATTAGGGTGTCACTATACAATACTGGAGCCATATGGGAGGGCCCTGGGATTAGTTCCCAGGTTGATGGGTGCATGTGGCGTATGTCCGTGATACTAGCTGGCTGCAGGGCTAGTGCAGGAAGAGCAGGGCTGTGGCGTGATGAGACTCTATTGGGGATCCCTGTCTTTCTGTCTGTTGTAAGGCACATAAAAATAGACTTAAAAAAGAGAGAACAACAAATATTTTTCAAATTCACAGTTGATCTTTGTCTTAGAAATTTGTTCTTCAGCCTGATTGTTAGTTTAGTTTTCATTCTTTTAATTTAGTCAATGAATGATTTATGAAGGCAAATTCAGCTTTGGGAGTAATATTTTACATAAATAAGATATCTCTAAATTCAACCAATAATCTAAATGAAGACAGATACTCCTTAGGAGAAACAAATACTTTTTTGTTGTTTTGGGTACCAGAAAATTGTTGGATATTAACTGTTACTGTTATTCATTATTTGCATGGTTATGTCAAAGCATGCAAGTGGAACAAGTAAATTGCGTTACATACAACAGGCAAACATAGGGCAGGAATCCTCTTAATTATATACAGAAAAATTTAGTCTTTGGGGGCCAGCAGGTGACATGGTAGTTAAGGCACTGGACTCCCACGTGGCTGATTGTGGTTTGAGTGTTGGACCTGACAGCTTGAAAATCACACCGTGTGTGTGTGTGTGTGTGTGTGTGTGTGTGTGTGTATGTGTGTACCCAATATCCCAGGAGGAGAATGAATGAGAAGGTATTGCGGCTTGGCCATCCCCCCCTGAGGATGACTTCTGATTATCCCTCTCACTGTCCTCTCTCTGGCGAGTGCACATGTCCTGTGGCAAAACCTTAAAAAAAAATTGTTGTTGATCCCTTGGGGAATAATTAGAGAAGCTAACATAAAGAGTAAAGCAATATAAAATCTTTATTAAGGTCTTTTGATTACTGTTTCAAGAAGTACTGTTACTGGGTGGCAGGGAGTGTAACACAGTGTCTGTGACTGTGCAAACCGCAGCCTTCAGTGCCTTAAATCATGGTACTTCCTCTTACTAGCTCTATGACTGTAGGCAAGTTAATCCCTCTACACCTCAGTTTTCTTGTCTGTAAAATGATATTTATTAGAGTATTAAGTGAGATAAACCATGTAAACTGCTAAGAGCAACAAAAATATTATCATTTACCAAATATTATGCACTGGGCAAGACCCTCAATGCTTAATATTATTAGCTGATTGATAAATGTTATTAGCCGATACTAAAACTATTTTTATTATTTAGAAGAAGGCTTAAAAATTAGGGCATGGCAGACTTTTCTATATGGATATAGTTTGCACGGGGCATCTAAATAATTTTAAAAATTAAGGCAAATGTCTTATTTACGAGGAAATAATTCTATTTCCCTTTGTGATATAATATTAAGGCTCATTACAAGAATATGTAGAAGGCAAGGGATAACTTATCCAAAAAATAATGTGGGTAGTTGCGGAAAGTGCAATGTTCCATGTTTTGCTATCACTCACTCTTTGTGTCAATGCTAGTATTTATACAATGGGAGTAATGTCTCCTGTCACATCATGTTTTTCCGTGGATGTAATGCAAATGGATTGGTTCTGGGCTTCCTCTAAGTATTCTAAGTAAATACCTTAGAAAGTATCAAATTATGTTTAATAAATGCTATAAAATATTTTCAGGTGTAATCACTCAGTCAGACTTACCCATTTTTCTAGTTATATTGGGAGAGATATAAGATACACTAAGATACTTCTCTCTTTCTTTTAAAAATTTTGGTCAGAGGGTGTGTGTTCTCACCAGAGAGACACAAAAGGTGGCGGCGGAGGGTGGGAGACTGAGAAAGCACCTCCCATAGGGGATGGCCATGCTGCCATCCCTTCTCCATCTCTCCCTCCTTCGGTGATTTTGGCCATGTACATGTGCCCACTGTGTTTTTAGGCTGCCGTGTCCATAACTCAAACTGTGCAGTCGGTCGTGTGGGACCCAGCCACTGTGCCACTGGCTAGCCCTACTACTATCTCTTTTTATACCTTTTTTTTTTTTTTTGGTGAGCAGCTAAATTATTTCTCAAATTGAAAAAAAATTATAAAAAGTGTTGTCATTTTCATTGAGGAAATAGTTTTATTTCAAACTTGAATGTAAATGTGAATTACTTTTACAGACCCATCCCATAATGTCCTGAAAATTTTATTCCAGAAGTACTTATTCTTTGTAAACTCCTGAACTAGGCATCATGAGGAACCTAAGGATGAGCCAGCCAAGAATCTTTGGCAGGTCATTATGGAGCTTGACATTTCAGAGTGAATGGAATGGGAGAATGGACTAGCACGGGAAGGTAGGAAGCCGACCTGACTCTCCTAACTGTGTGTGAGATGGGAAGCGCTTGGAGATGGATGAGGACTTGCTGCAGTGCAGGTGTCTCCAAGCACCCACAATGCAGTAGAATTCCCTCATTTATTTTATGTATCAAGTTATAGTTGTTCATTATTTGAATCAAAGATTCTGCTGCCAAATAAAACTTAAAAACCATTCCTCCTTTCAAGCTTCCTGTTTTTTAAGAGAGATTTTTGCTACAGGATGTGTGCACTCACCAGAGAGACAGAGAGACAGAAAGTGAGAAATCACTCTTCAGAGGGATGGCCTCACCACAATCTCTTCTCTTCCATTCTCCTCTTGGGATTTTGGGTACACACACATCTGGCGTGAGTTTTAAGCCGCTAGGTCAGAGATTGCAACTGCGGTCAACTATGTGGGAGTTCAACAATGTAACCATTATGCCATCTGCTCTTCCCCTCAAGCTCCTTAATTTTATAGATGAGGCAATGTATACTCTTAAGTAGCGATTTGGCTAAAACAGGTCTATTAACAGAAAAGTGTGCCTAGACTCTTAGCAATTGAAAGTTAGATCCAGCTTTTTTCCATGTTGCCAGGATAGCCTTAAAAACAAATGCATGCAATTGTATATATTATTTTAAATTGTTTTGTATAAAAGAAGGAAGAGAGAAATTGCTAATTTTGCACTTAGACCATTAAATTGAGGAAGGATGAATGAAACAATGGTTAGAATTTGCATATTGGTAACAATGGCAACCTTCTGAATTGCTTTCATTTTGCTGAGTTCAGTGATTATGCTCTGTGAATTAATTCTTTTGTGGAAAGCTATTGAAAGATCAAGGAATTTAGAAAACAGAACAACAGAGAAGCATGCTGTTTCATATCTATTTGTACATAGATGGTTCAAAGTGAGATTGTTTACATCACAAGTCTTGTTGATATTTTATTTGCTTCTTAGAAGAAAGATAGTATTCAAAGATGATTATATAATCATGCAGATAAGGTTTCACAGTCATGAATGAACTGTTCTGACAGAAGGACCAAGAAGAAAAACCACATTACAATTTTGAGCTGTGCCTGGTTGGCAAGTGTCTTCACAAGACTTGAAAATAGAGCCCCATTCGATTCTTCTAGGGAAAAAAAAAAAAAAAAGCTTGAGCCAACCCTGCACATTTCAAATTTGCTGTTTCCTGTGGAAGTTTCTTGGTGTTTTGCTGCCAGACTAAGGGCATGAAAAGAAGGTAAGAGGGAGGGTAAACCCTGTTATTCCGTCTTTCTTAACCTTTCTCTTAAGGATATGTCCTTTTTACCCACTGTTTTTTGGATGATGGAACAGAACAGGGTGAAATGCAGAAACAGACTCAAAATGTACTCCCAGATGATCTCCTACCATAAGCATTGGACCAGCGTAACGAATGCCTCTAACAGAAATATTATAACAGTGTTCTCTCTTGCTTTCCTCGTTCTCAACATAAAATTCAAAAAAGTAGTAGCAATAGTGAAAATTACGGTTACTTCCTTTTTTGGAATTAGATAAAACAATAGAAATTATTCCCCTCTCTATTTGTAGTAGCTTATTTTTTTCTTTTTTCTTTTTAAAATGATATAGAACACATATGAGAGAGAGTGAGGGGAAGAAAAGGCACCCTCAATAAAGTCTCATTGGGCCGTAATCCCCTCTCCCCAGCCTTCTAGCTCCTCATGACCTTAGGTACCTGAATTTGTGCCTGGCAGGTTTTTCAGGCTGCTTTCAGAATCTGAACCGTGGTTGCCACATGGCTTCCAGCACTGCAGGGCACTAATGTTATGGCTACACTCCAGCAGTTGGGCCATGTAGTAGATGCTTTGTGAGAACAACAAAGTATCTGAAATTTAGCTATGCTGTGAAACTCTTACTACTTTAAATATGTGCAGTAAGTATTTTTCATATGCTAGTTTACCCCTGATTTTAGTTCTTTAGTTTTAAAAGAATTTTATTTTTATTTATTTTTTGAGAGAGATTATTACTATAGGGCATGTATGCTTAATAGAGAGGCCAAGAAGGACAGAGAGACAGAAAGCAAGAAATTACGCCCCTCCCCCAAGGAAGCATGGCCTCACCGTAATCCCTTCTTCTCCTCTCTCCTTTCAGGATTTTGGCCATACACGTACACACGCCTGGTGTGAGTTTTAAGCCACTGGTTCTGGGACCTGAACTGCAATCAGCCATCTAGGAGTCCAGTACCTTAACCACTACACCACCTGCAGACCCATAAAGGAAATTTAATAATTAAATATTAAAATTAGAACATAGCTCAGGGGTAAGGCACTACTCAAGAAAAACCAGATTCCACATAGCGACTACAGCTCAGATCACTGGCCTAGTAAGACAGAAACACACCAGGCATGTATTCTAGTGTCCAGGGTCCAACAAGCTAGAGGACTGTAGGAAGGGAGTCATGGCATAATCAAACCTTATGGAGGCTTCTCATTTCTCTCTCTCTCTCTCTCTCTCTCTCTCTCTCTCAGACGCAGGAGCATGCACATATGTTTTATCATGAATAGAGAAAAAAATTCAAAAGTCATAGCACAACTAAAATATTTGGTTAACATATATAAGACATTTAACCAAATAATAGACAAAAGCAAAGATCCTTACATATTCTTTATTTTTCTTCTTGGTTTGCTCTTGCTTCTGATTTCTTTCCATAGCAGTTTTTTTTTCCCCCTGTATTCATGATAGAGCACAGGAACACACATGAAATTGATGAGAGAGAGAGAATGCACTTTCTACTCAAGCAGTTGACTTAATGATGATAATCCCTTCTAACCGCTCATATTGCTCAGTAAAGAAAACACAGCAGTGAATTAAGGGTTCTAGTCTAAACGTAGATGTGTAAATCTGGACCCAGGTCATTTAGCATATTCAGGGATCAAGTTGTTCTGTGTATAGAATGTAATTAATGGGCCTGCAGGTAGAGTGGAGGTTAAGGAAGCTGGATTCCACATGACCAAGGGCGTGGTTTGAGTCATGGACCTGGTGGCTTGAAAACACTCTGTGTGTGTGTGTGTGTGTGTGTGTGTGTGTGTGTGTGTGCCCCAAATCCTGAGAGGAGAATAGAGGAGAAGGGATTGTGGAGAGGAGGGATTATGGCCATTCCCCTGATAGGGATTTCTCACTTTCCGTCTTTCTCTCTTTCTGTCTTCAGCAAGCACCCATGCCCTATATCAAAACAACAAACAACAAAAAAGCTTTTAAATATAGCCACCTAATCTGTTTTTATTTGGAGAGAAGAAAAAAAAACGTTAAAGAAAAAGGAAAACGACTAATGAAAGTAGCCAGAAATTCCTAGAAGGAGCCTTTGCACCTTACATGTGGACTCACCTAACTCATGGATAACATGGATTTGTGCACCGTCAAGGAAATCATGGAAAAGGGGTTATGAGGCAATTATTGATGTAAGGAACTCAAAAGAAATGCTTTGGAAGCATGATATTAGTGAAGTTAGCTCTGAAGATCCACTAAAGCAAGAGAGTTTTAATGTAGTAAGAGAGAAGATGAGCAAGTCATATCCTGGCCCTGGCCTGTGTCACTCAAGGGACAGCCCAAGGAGCCAAAAAGAACCATTTAGAAACAATCACTTGATACAAAGTGGCTCCCTAACTGTAATCAGAATGCTCTTTTATTTTCATTACACAGCCAACTGGATGAGCACAATACAGTTTATTTGTCTTTAGGGCTCCTGAAGATTTTAAAATAAAAAATTAGTGCCCCCCCCCAAATCTTTCTCTTCCTGTTTCTTGAATTTCTTTCTCTTATCTTTCTTTTTGTATACCTTTTCTTGATTTAATTTTTTCTTTGTTTATAACTAAGGTAGTTCCCCTTTATCCAAAGGGAGGAATTACATTTTAAGGACCCCAGCAGATGCCCCAAACCATGGTTAGTGGAAAACCCTACACGGTATATATTATGTTTTTTTTTCTTTTTCCTTTACATGCATATGTACAATAAAGTTTAATTTTTAAAATACAGACAACAGAGATTAACCATAATAATAACCTCTAATAAAATAGAAGAATTGTAACAATATGCCAGCAGCACTGCTCTGGTGCTGTGGGGCCATTATTAAGTAAAACGAGGGTACTTGAACATAAGACCCGCGGTGCTGCAAGTCTGTCTGACAGACAAGATGGCTGCCAAGTGGCAGGGAGAGTGTGATTACTCTGTATAGCAGTACGAGTCCTGTCCTGGGTGGAATGGAACTGGGCCACGTGAGATTTCACCCCACTACTGTGCAATTTAGGCCTTATGTATCATTTATGTATGGAATTTCCATTTGATATATTGTCTGCAGTTGACCATAGGTAAATGAAACCATGGAAAGCAAGCTATAGGTAGGGGGGGACTATTATACTTTCCTTTGTTAATCTCTCTCCCTTTTTCTTCCTCTCATCTATTTTCTTCCTCTCTCTAGTTCATCAAATTCTGGCCTATAGCTACATTTTTAATTTTCTCACCAAATATATATATATATTATATATATGTGTAATATATATAAGATATATATATTACATACATATATTACATATATGTAATATATATATTATTTGATGAGAAGATTAAGAGAGAGAGACAGAGAGGAGCTGTCATACTTAGAAGTATTTGCTTATTGACTGAGTAATTCTAGTAGTAATCCAGATATGAACAGTGAGTCAAAGGTAGAATTTGGTATGCCAAATAGAGGGATAGAGGGAATCAGAGAAAAAGTTGTCTGAACTATTTTGGTGTTTTTTTTTGCTTATTTGTTTGGTGTAAATAGAATCAATAACATACTATATCTTAGAAGAGATTGGGACTAGGAGTTGGCATAATAGCTATGTTGGTGGACTCCCATGTAGTCGACTGGCATTCGAGTCCCAGTCCTGGTGGCTTAAATTCACGCCAAGCACGTGTGCTTGCGTACCCAAGATCCCAAGAGAAGAATGGAGGAGAAGGGATTGCGGCGTGATCAAACCCCCTGGAGGGTGATTTCTCACTTTCTGTCTCTCTGTCTCGCTCTGTCTTTCTGGTGAGTGCACGCACCCTATAGCAAAAACCTCTCCAAAATAAAAGAAAAGAAAAGATTAGCTCAATATTTTTAAAAAATATTTATTTATTTTTATTTATTCATTCATTTATTTTTTTTAATTTGACCAGAGAGAGACAGAGATAGAGAGACAGAAAGGGAAAGTGAGAAAGCAAGCCACCAGGTCCAGGGACTTGAACACTGGTCAGCCATGTGGGAGTGTCCAGTGCTTTAACCACCACGCCACCTGCTGGTCCCTAGCTAAATATTTTTCATCCACAATTCATCTTCTTTTATTTGTAAAGCCAGATAGCTTGAACATATCAAAGAGAGACACTTCCATGGAGCCTGTAGTGCCACCTACCTTCCCATTAGAATGCAGTGCTTTGAACTACACTTCAGATATTGGGAAGGAGGTAGAAGCTCTCTTGGCAAAGGAAAGTGTGGAGATGGCAGTACAGCTCATTATTTTTATTCTAGAAGTACTACACAGTGGATTTCTTAGCATCAGCTGAAATGGGAAGAATTGCTTTTCATCTTGTTTATTTAATAGTCTGCTATTAGTACTTTTTTGCTTCTTATCTCAAGTGGTGGTTGGTCACCCTGGGCTATTTGCTCTCCTGCACGTGCAAACCATTTCTCGTTCATTTGTTATAGTTATGTGGACATATTGGAGATATACAGAGATCAATCTAAATTGTGTAGAGTTTAGAACATCCTTATACTATTAAAAAACTTCCACTTCTAATTCTTTTTCTTGGAAAGAAAGGCCAAAATATTTAAGAATTAGGTCAAATTGTTCAGTAAGATTTTTTTCTATTTTTATTTATTTATGTTATGTAATTTTATGTTTTTGTCACACAGTATGTGCTGTCACCAGAGAGAGACATAGAGAGACAGTGATAGGGAAAGTCAGAAATCACTCGGGGGCGGATGGCCATGCCCCAATCACTTCAGTCTCCTTTCAGGACTTGGGGCATGCACACACACACACACACACATGCTTGGCATGGTTTCCAAGCCTCCAGATCGAGGGCTCAAACTGCAGTCATCCACATGATTTCGTTTGTCTATAACTAAAATAATTCCCTTTTATCCCAAGGGAAGAATACATTCAGTCCAGTGGCTCAACCACCATGCTACCTGCTGGCTCCCATTTTTACTTTTTTAATGTCTAAAATTACCTTACAACAAAATTGACTGTATTTTGGATATACAGCTCTATAAGTTTTAATCACCATTAAAATCAGCATATAGGACAATTCTATCAGCCCCCAAGACTGCTGATCTTTTTAATTAGCTCAAGAAAGATTCTTCAGTCTCCAGCCCACAAAGTCTAAGTCTGGAAGACAGGACAACTGAAATGGAGAGGGCAAAGTGCCATGTATCTTAAATTTCAGTGGATGTTCTTTCAACCCTTTTCATTTTACTATGGCTTTCAGCTCTGGCTTAAATCTAGCATTTCTCTGCTCATACCTCTAAAGAGTACAGTTTCATTTTTTTTTTCTTTGTATTAATTTCTCATCTTACTTTGCCCAGTTAAGACTAGCTTATTCAATTCCTGCTCTTTTTTTTTCTTTTTCTTTTTCTTTTTTTTTTTTTTTGAGAGTCTTTTGTTATAGGGCATGTGTGCTTGCCAGACAGAGACAGAGAGATAGAAAGCGAGAAATCACCCCCAAGAGGGGATAGCCATGCCTCAATACCTTCTCCTCCATTCTCCTCTCAGGTTCTTGGGCACATTCGCACACACACCCAGCGTGAGTTTAAGCCAGCAGGTCTGGGACTCGAACTGTGGTCGACTACGTGGGAGTCCAGCGACATAGCCATTACACTAACTGCTAGTCCCTCAATTTCTTCTTTTAAATGTATTATTATTATTATTATTATTATTTGGAGAGGTTTTTGTTATAAGGGTGTGTGTACTCGCCCAGAAAGACAGAGAGAGACAGAGAGACAGGAAGTGAGAAATCACCCCCTGGGAGGATGGCCACACTGTAATCCCTTCTCCTCCATTCTCCTTTCAAGATGTTGGGCACGCACACCCATGCGCCTGGCATGAGTTTGAGCCACCAGGTCCAGATTCAAACCACATCGATTATGTGGGAGTCCAGCAACATAGCCATTATGCCTTCTGCTGGTCCCTCTGTTTTTAAATGTACTTAAAACTTTGAATATGACCCAAAACTCTACTTTCAAGAATCTTCCATAGGTTATTTTTAAATCATAATTAAATTTGTATAACATACAATTTACCATTTTAACCTTTTCTTTTTTTTTTGGAGAGGATTTTTTGCTATAAGGTGTGTGCACTCACCAGAAAGACAAAGCGAGACAGAGAGACAGAAAGCGAGAAATCACCCCCCGCCCCCCAGGGGGGGATGGCCATCCTGCAATCCCTTCTCCTCCCTTATTCTCTCGGGATCTTGGACACGCACGCATATGTGCCCAGTGTAAAGTTAAGCCACTGGGTCCGGGACTTGAACTGCTGTCAACTACATGGGAGTTCAGCGACATAGCCATTACGCTAACTGCTGGTCCCACCATTTTAACCATTTTTAAGTATACAGTTCAGTGATATTAAGTACAGCCATAACCACTGTCTATATCTTGAATGTTCTCATCATTCCAAACTGCAACCACATACCAATTAAATAATAGTTCTTCATTCTCTCTACCCTCCCCATTACTACTCCCCCAAGAATCACTATTCTATTTTCTGTCTCTATAAATTTAACTATTCTAGGTACCTCATATAAATAGAATAATACAATATTTGACCTTTCATATCTTGCTTATTAGTTTATCATAATGCTTGCAGTATTCATACATGATATAACATATTTCAGAATGTCTTTTCCTCTTAAGGTTGAGTAATATTATATTTAATATATCCACTGATGTGTCAATGAGCATTTGGCACTTTCAGTTATATCTAATGTCTATGTCTGTATGAATACTAAGTGCACAAATAATCTTTTCAAGATCCTGTTTCCAATTGTTTTGGATATTTACCTAGAAGTAGAATTGCTAGATCATATTGTAATTCCAGTTACATTTCTTGAAGAGCTCTCCCGTTGGGTTCCACAGCGGCCATGTTGTTTGCCACACCCTTTTGTGTACCTGTCAACAACATAAGAGGGTTCCAGTCTCTCTATATCTTCCCCAAGAATTGTTTGTATTCAGTATTTTGTTTGTTTTGTTTTGTTTTTAATAATTGCTATCATAATGCATGCAAGGTGGCATCTCATTGTGGTTTCCCTTTGCATTTTATTAATTATTGGTATCGTTGAGCATATTTTCACATGCTTATTGGCCATATGTATATCTTCTTTGGAGAAATGTAAGAAATATAACTTCTGGAAATTGATACCAGAAACTGATAATTTCTGATTTTTGATCTTTCTTATTTTAACCAGATCTTTAATATTTCCTGAATGAAAGAGGGATGGATAAATGACCAAGTACCATTTCTGATAATCAACCAGAGCACTCTAGTCTTAGTAACCATTCGACTTGCTACTTGAAGAAGTTTTCTTAAGCTTTTAGGCTACATTTCATAACCTAAAAATGGAAATAGTGATATTAACCTGCATCCTAGGATTGTTTTGTAGGTTAAATAATATGCAAGATGCTCTTTGATATGTTAATATTTATAATTAATTAATGCACTTAAGTACTATAAAACTTAAATGTTTTGTGTTTGTGTTTCTGTCTGTATTGTTAAGGGTACCCTTTTAAAAGACCCAAAACTATTTTTTAAAAACAGGTGCTTCAGAGGAATTAGGTTAGTAATTTTCAAAAGATATTTGTTGTTGATAAAATGAAGGAATGAATAAATGCTTATGCATGTATGTAAGTACACACACACACACACACACACAACTTTAGGTTGCATTTGACCTAGATGGGTTAGAAGTTTCACTCTGGATTTTCTCATCAAAAATACGTGTTGCCTCAAACTCTATTGGATTGATATTTAAAGAATTTTTAAGTCTCTGGCAAAGTATTGAGTTAAAAGAAAAGAGCAAAAGTTGTTTTTTTTATTTTTTAATTTTTTTTATGGCAAAATAATAAAGTATAGTTGATTTTTATCTGATTTTTTTCTTTCTTATTTATTCCATGGCATTAACAATACCATATTTGTTATTCTCTGTCAATGAAAAGATAGTAGTAATATTTACTGTTTAAACTGATGAGGCGAGAACATGATATTTTATAGAGGGTTTTGTGAACCTCTTATTAAAGTTTATGGAACTCTGATACACTGGAAAACTGCAGAGTCAATGTTAAATTGATATAATGTTGTATACTGTAATGGGTGCATTTTCCTCATTGTTTGAAAGAAAATGCTACCAGAAGAATATGTATTCCTTCTTGAGTTATTTTCACCTTGAATCAGATTGACTTTATCTTTTTTTTTTTTTTTTAAATCACTCTTTTCATTTGCAAACTGGCTGAGATCTGAGGTTGGTGTTCATGTTCTGATTTCAACCAAATGTTGAAGTATAGGATTAGAAGAGGAATAAGAGATGATCCAAATATAAAAGAGAAATGTTAAGATTTTTTTAAAAAAGCTAATTTGTCACTTCACTCATTGAGTATGAGCTGAATAGACTTCTAACCCTTAAAATACTTTTTTCCCCCTCTTTTTATTGCCTGGAATCTTAAGAGCTTTATCATTTGCAGTCATAAAATGAAAATATACACCAAACCCTCAAAGGGCAAGTATGAAATTAAATTATATTTGGGCAGCTGTAACCTTTTAAAACGATCAGATTCCAGTTAATGTATTTCTTCCTGTTCCAAGTGCTGCCATGGTGTTTGATGGTGGGAAGCAGTCCAAAGGGCATTGGGAGATAATAAATTCACTGTAAATTTCACCCCAAGGCATGTCTCCATACACCAAGGCCTCCATTTAGCAAGGCTGACCTAAAACTCTTGTCACATCCAAAGGTCATTTAGGTTGGGGTTGGTGTGTCCCATCTATCTTTTCTTGATGTAAAGAGTGACAGTTGAAACAGGATTGAGCTCATAAACAGTCATCTGAATATGAAAAAGACTCTAGCTTTGGAGTAGGAAGGGAAAGTGAAGAATGAACTACCTTTTCAGTGGGACTGGCAAATGTGCTTTTTGCAAAGTCAATGACGGGTCGATATGATCTCCTAGCTTCTGTTTCAGAGCAGCCGTTAACTGGAAAAGGGGCATAACTGGATTTAGGTGATTTATAATCAAATAGTCTTTCCTCTTACTTTTACTTATATTTGTTTCTAAAGCCTGGAGTAACATTTAATAAGTTTTTTTTTAGAGACTCTAAAATTTCCCAACTTCTTTGGTTTTAAAACAATAATATTCCTTCCCTTACTTACCTCTGCTCATTCTCATAAGTTAATTTACCAACACATGGGAACAATATAAGGAAAATTTTAAAAATAAAGCTTAATGTCCTAGAACACTGTCTTTGTTCTTAATCATGTACTTTATATTGTGGTAAAATATGTATAGCATAACATTTAGCATTTTAACCACTTTGAAGTATACAGTTCAGTAACATGGGTATATTTATAATAGTCTATGACATCACCTCTATTTTTGGGACATTTTTATCATCCAAAACAGAAATTCTGTATCTGTTAAATCAGCATTCACATTTCCACTTCTCCTGTCTCCTTGTAATTTCTATTCTCTTTCCTTCTCTACAAATTTGCCCATTCTAGGTACTTCATATAAATAAAAGCATGTAATATTTGTCCTTTTCTGTCTGACTTATATCATTTAGTATAATATTTTAAAGGTTCATCCATATTATAACATGTATCTTTCAATCATACACTTCCCTTGAACCAGTCCATTCGTTCAATAAATATGTAATACACCTACTACATGCCAAGCACTGTTCTAGACACACAGAACACATTAGTGAAAAACTATCTTTGCCTTCATGAAAGAATTTTTTTCTACCAGTAAGACTTAAAAGAGATTCATCTTTCATTATTTCTTTTCAGTAGTTGTCTAATATTTCTCTATCTGATACTCTACATTGCTTATATTACAACTGAAAATCTATATATATGTTCATGAGTCTTAATATTTGTAAATGAAAGTTGTTTTTGAAGGAGCTAAAATCACCCTTAAAAGTGTATGATTGAGGGAACCAGCAGTTAGCATAATGGCTATGTCGCAGGACTCCCACATAGTCGACAGCAGTTCGTGTTCCGGGCCCGGTGGCTTAAACTCATGCCGGGCGCGTGTGCGTGCGTGTCCAAGATCCCAAGAGGAGAATGGAGGAGAAGGGATTGCGGCGTGACCATCCCCCCTGGGGGGTGATTTCTCGCTTTCTGTCTCTCCGTCTCTCTCTGTCTGTCTGTCTAGCGAGCGCACGCACCCTATAGCGAAAACCTCTCCAGAAAAAAAAAAAAGTTATATTGTGTTTTGGGTAGTGCAGATGGATCATTTTTTGCTATATGTTTCTTAGTCATTTTCAAATACTCTAAAACATTTAAGGTTGTTAGATCAGCAGATGGAGTAATGGTTACATTGCTGAACTCCCACATAGTCGACTATGATTCAAATACTAGACCCAGCAGCTTAAAACTCACACCAGCCACAGGTGCATGTGTGCTCAAGAAAAAAACTCATTCCTGGCATGTGTGTGTGCGTGTCCCCAAAATCCTGAGAGGAGAATGGGGGAAGAGGAATTGTGGCATGGTCCTTACCACTGGGGGGGTGATTTCTCACTTCCTGTCTCTGTCTGGCAAGTGTATGTGCCCTAGAGAAAACAAACGAAACAGAAACAAAACAAAAATACAACGCTCTAAAAAATAATTCAAGGCTGGTGACCATGAATTTAAGAAAGAGACTAGAGTTTTATGTGATAAGATTCTTTGTATAAACTATACAGAAACAGCAAGTAGTTAAATATGGATGAACTCTTAATGTTGAAAATTATATATCCAGATTTATTCTGAAATTTATTTTGAATCCATTTTAGATCATGCAAATGTGATTAGATAGAGAAAGCTGGTGGACAGCAGTAAAACATGGTTTACTGCAAGGCAGTCCCATGTGGGAAGGTTCCCAGTTCAAGTCTAGGAACCTCCCTGAGTATATGAGGCACACACTTGCCCATGATAGGAAGCTAGCTGAGGCTGGAGGGCAAATCATGGTAGAAGGACCCTGCGGGGGGTGCTGTCTCTCATTCTCTCTCTCAGAAGAAATAAACTTAAAAATACTGAATAGGTGAATGTTACTCCAGTTCAGAATGGGTTTTAGGTGATTCAAACTCTCCCAATCAACTCAAAATTATGTCTAGACTAATTTTGTAGTAATAGAAATCCAATTATGTCATTCTTCTTCTTTTTTGAGAGGTTTTTGCTATAGGGCGTGTGCGCTCACCAGACAGATAGAGAGACAGAAAGTGAGAAATCAGCCCCCCAGAGGGGATGGTCATGCCCCAGGCCCTTCTCCTCCATTCTTCTCTTGGGATCTTGGGTACGCACGCACATGTGCCCAGCGTGAGTTTAGACACGAACCGCGGTTGACTACATGGGAGTCCAGCGACATAGCCATTACGCTAACGGCTGGTCCCATCATTCTTCTTCTTAAACTGATATAGTTTCCCATCTCTGTTTCCTAACACCTGTCCCACTGCACAGGCATCTCACCGGCTTTTTTACAGTACTGTGTACTGGTCACATTCCCTCTCACAAAGGGTTTTGTCAGGACTTCTTCCTGCTACATGAATTTAGTTACATCAACTCATTCTTCTGATCCCCCCTCCCACCCCAAGTATTTGTAGTTTGCAGGGAAGACTTTCTGACTTGCCTGCCCATAAGTACCATAGCATAGCTCTCTCTCTCTCCAAGGTTCTGATAATACCCACATACTTCTATGTTATAATGCTTTTTCATGTTTGCAATTTTACTTTTCAGTTGTGCAGTTATTTTGCTAACACTCTCATTCTGTGTAGCTAAAAATCCTTAAACAAAACTGGTGCTTTAAAATATTTTTGAATACTAGAGACAGTGTGGGAGGGTGATGTGCAATGTGGGGGAGGGGTGGAAGGGAGGGAATCAAGAGGGAAAATAAAAGAAAAAACCATAGTGCACACTGTAAAGATGATTAAATGCAAATAAATTGTAAAGTAAAATTCTAAATGAAGTACATTTTTAAAATTTGAATGAATAAAAGTACAATGATTAAGGACAATAATAAATATTATAGCTTTATTCAGATTTTATTGCATAGTTCCTAAAATTCTTGAAATAGTTGAACATTTAGCAAATTGAGAGAAAACTAAACCGAAACTTTTTTTTTAACTGCCAGTGCCCAAAATAAAGAAGGGTGAAAGATGCTAAGAGAATGTCCTCTTGAAAACTTCCCACTTCGTTCTTGTCCTACATCCTGATAGTATAATTCTTACCAGAAGAGCTCAGCCTCTGTCCAAAGTACTCTGAATTATGCTCCCCAGGCCTGCCTAGCTCTTTGCCTCAAAGCACATAGATCCTACTACTGTATTAAAATGACCTGGAAAGAGGTTCAGAAGACAGTGGTTAAGAGTTATGAGCTCTGCAAATAAGCAAAAAGACTTGGATCCCAACTTCAGCTTTGTGTCTTAATTATGTGACTTTGGACAAATGACATTTGCTCTTCTGGGCCTCAGTGTCCTCCTGCATGTGAGAATAATGCCTGTTTCCTCAAGGTGATCAAACGGTTCGGAGAGAGATGGCAAGGCTGTGGCAGACAGTAAACATTCTGTATATCTAGCTATTATGAATTTATTGCTCATAAGTGACTCACTCCCCATTTTACATCCCACCCCTCTTCACTCTCTGTCTTTCTGGCAAGTGTATATGCCCTCTAGCAAAATAAATAAATAAATAAATAAGAAAGAAAGAAAAAGGAAAATAGGAAAAAAAGCCAATATTAATATTAATATGCACTACTTTTTTATCTTAAAGCTTTACAGGGAATAAAATGAGGAGAAAGAGGAGAATCTTTAGGAAGAAGTGTTATGGTTTTATTTTTTTTTTACTTTCTCAAATATGTTGTATGTTTTTACTAGCAGGAAAGCAACAAAGCAGCTAAAAATCAGTTCTTAAATGGCTGTGTGCTTTCTTCAGGTAGAATAGAGTTTTGTTACCAATGATTCAAGAAGTTTTCACTCTTGAAGCCTTTAAACCCTGGCCTTGGAAACTGCCATTCTCAACTTAGAGTATAAGGGCAACCCCCCTCCCCCCCTTTTCACTGGCCAGCAAGAATGGGAATCTCTCTCTATCCCACTTCAAAACAGGGAAGTATGTTCATCATATATATTTGAAGTTTGAAAAGCATTTTCCCACAGTAACATTGCTACCCATATGGCAAGTTTAAATGGTACATCTAGAAAGGGGGAGTAGGATTGCTCACACTTCTGATACTACTTGTACTTTCCCCTTTGGTAAGGTAGTGAACCACGGTGAACCTTCATTACCCACAATGAATATGCAGGATTGTTAACGGTGATTCTGGAATAACATACAAACATCAGGTCAAATGATTGACATGTTCTAGTCATTGAGAAATCTTAATTTTTGCATTTCCTCTCCCTGTACATGCCGCATATTTTCAAGCACCCAGCAGATATGCATTCTGGAAGTGAATATGGGTTTATAACAAACATAATAGTGTATAATCTGATTTAGTATGAACTGACTCTCAGGTTTTCCTTGTAGTGAGTTAGAATGTTATTTTTTAATGCTTTGAAAACTATCATGCACCATCGTCCCTATTCTTTTGAAACAAATAAGCAGTGGTTTCATAGTTATGAACTTAGCCAAAGGAATGTGTTTGCTTTAAAAATCTTTCTGATCATGCTCAGCTTTCCTTTGTCAAATAATGAATATCTGGTAACAACAGAATTTTTTATTCTAGTGAACAAGCATTTCTCTTCTTACTGTTGCTTTGAAAGGAATTTCAGCAATATTTTCCCCCTAAATTAAACTAATTAAAGATATAAGTATAGGCACTGATATATAAAGAGATTTGAAGAGCTTTCCAGCCAGTGTCCTCCTTACCTTGCCAAATGGAGATGTATTTACTGGTTGGTGACCTCAGGAATAGATGCAGAGTGTTCGTCCTCCCACAGTAATGAACAGCAAGTCTGGAGCGGCATAAAAAGGGTCAATCGAATAGGTCATACATCATATGGGGAGGCAGATGTTAGAACATATTGTAATGGATTACTGTGCAGTACATGAAGATGGCTTGTGGAGTAGAAAAACGGGGAGGGAGCGAGGGAA